CGTTTGCAACTGTTGATTTAAAAGAAAATTTCAGGCCGGCGCGGTGGCTCACGTCGTGTAATCCTAGCTGTCTGGGAGGCCGAGCGGGAGGATCGCTCAAGGTTAGGAGTTCGAAACCGCCTGAGCAAGAGCGAGACCCTGTCTCTACTAAAAAAAAAAAATAGAAAGAATTATTGGCCACTAAAATATATAGAACTTAGCCGGGCATGGTGGCGCATGCCTGTAGTCCCAGCTACTTGGGAGGCTGAGGGCAGGAGGATGGCTTGAGCCAAGGGTTTGAGGTTGCTTGTAGCTAGGCTGATGCCGGCACTCTGGCCCGGCAACAGAGGGAACTTTGTCTCAAAAAAAAAAAACCAACTTTCAGAGGCAAAAAAAAATTCTGTATGGAACTATTAGAGAGACCAGTAGATATGTATAAGATGATATATACATAAGTAAAAAATATATTTTTTCTCTGTATGTGTTGATGCATGCACATTTCTGTTTTAAGGCAGAATTTTTGCATAGTTTAGGCATTCACCTGTGAGGTCTAGGAATGCCGTGAGAAGATGCTTTCGGGTGTGTTCTCGGGGAGCTCAGCAAGCCCCCAGGCGCCGGCCCGGCCCAGCGGATGCCCTTCCGGGTGGGTGACATGTCCCAATTCGCTGGCTCAACATCTTTTTTCACCTCTGCCACCTTTAAAACACACATACCCAGACACAGACACTAATATCTTCCATGATGACATAGGCAACGGCCCCCTGAGAAAGCAGCTTCTAGCATTTGCTTTACTTTCTTTTTTAAAGCCACCTTCACAGTACTTAGCTTACCACTTGACAATAAACTCCACCACCAATCAGATGTGGTTGGCAATCAAAAATCAGTGCCAATGACCTTGCACTGAGTTCCTTGGTTTGTAACTAATCTGCTTCCCCTGGTTAGTCCCATCTGGAAGGGCCCCAGAATTTTCGAGGAAGAAGGAAGTGTGGGCCGGCAGTTCCCAGGCGAGTGAAGAGTAGCGCTAGCCATTCACATTTTTCCAGCCAGCTCCAGCAAGGCCAGAAAGAGCGGTGTGCCTGCCAGCAGGGCCTGGCCTCGAGCACGACTGAGATTCCTCTGACATCTGATGCCAAGTCCACCAGCCCGGCCTGGGGAGGGACGTGAACTATTTTTAACACTATGCAAGGGGAGAGGAAGCACTGGTTCCGATAAGTCTCACTGGCTAATCTTTAAAAAGCGCCTGGAAGTTCACCCATTTGGCAATGAGAAGTGAATGGAACTTGGAACCACAGGAATGGAAAATATTATTATGTACTGAGCTTTGCAAAACAAGCACATTCTCTCTTTTTTTTTTTTTAATGCGTTGTGCCTTTCACTTAAGAACCCTGAAAGCATTCAGAGAGCATTAGTGAGTTCCAAAACAATTTCCACGGCAGCTCAACACCTTTTTTTTTTTTTGCATGGACCACCAATAGGAGGGCTCAGACATAAGAAGACAAGATCACAGGATGAGCAAATGTTGGCCTCCCAATGCCAACTCTGCCACTAGACCAGAGCCCCAGAGGGGCCACCTGAGCAGATGTGAGGTGGCCCATCTGCTGTGGGCCTCAGCGAGGCCCCCTGGGGTTTATGAATCAATTCGACCCTGCCACACACTTCTCTGCTTGGAAAACAGACTGATCCACCTTCAAAAAAACATCCCATAGAGACCCTTGTCAGAAAACGTAACCTCAGATTGTCCACTCTGCAGTTCCTATCGCAAATTGGATGTTAGGAAAACTAAAAGCAAGAGTTCTTGAACTCACAGATATCAGAGACTTATAAAACTTCAGAAGCAAACCAATATGAGAGACCAGCATAAGACTGTCAACATTTAATTTTGCCAACTAAGGGCATCGAACAAAAAAAAAAAATCAATGATCACTATACTTTCATTTTTAAAGAAAATCATGTTAGCAACAACAACAACAAAAAAAGGAAGGACATTCTATCAGAAAAAAAATAATTCTTTAAAATGATTACATTTAGGCCGGGCGCGGTGGCTCACGCCTGTAATCCTAGCACTCTGGGAGGCCGAGCCGGGTGGATCGCTTAAGGTCAGGAGTTCAAAACCAGCCTGAGCGAGACCCCGTCTCTACTTAAAAAGATAGAAAGAAATTAATTGACCAACTAAAAATATATCTACAAAAACTTAGCCGGGCATGGTGGCGCATGCCTGTAGTCCCAGCTACTTGGGAGGCTGAGGCAGGAGGATCGCTTGAGCCCAGGAGTTGGAGGTTGCTGTGAGCGAGGCTGACGCCACGGCACTCACTCTAGTCTGGGCAACAGAGTGAGACTCTGTCTCTAAATAAATAAATAAATAAATAAAATGATTACATTTAAAGTTCGAAAAAATCATTCCATTGTCTTTATTGTTTTCCATTCACGGACCACAAGCCTGTGAAAACATGTCACAGACCCGGTTGTGCAGATGGACATTTAGGGACCACACAGGCTGCCGGGTCTGCTTACCAGCCCTGCTCACCTTCCTCTGAATGTTTTAAGCAGGTGTCCTCAAACTACGGCCCGAGAGCCACATGCGGGCCGCCTAGCACATGTATCCAGCCCTCTGAGTGTTTTTGCCACCGCTGCCTGTCCTGCTTAGCAGCCGGCTCGTCCCGGGCCCACAGTGCGCACTCTCCAACGGTCTGGGGGACAGTGACCTGGCCCCCTGTTTGACAAGTTTGAGGAGCCCTGGTTGTAAGTATCGTATGAAGCCACTGCAAGAGCACAATACCCAGAGTGCGAACAGACACTCTTACCTAACATGGATTTCTTCTTATATGAGGCTGGGCGGTCATACAGGGATCTCTGGATGTCGGAATACTTGGACACCTCTTTCCTTTCCAGCATAGGCACGTACTGTGTAGTGTCGGCCTGCTTCATGTCCATGTAGTCACCATTGTTTTCAAAGGATAAAATAACGTAGCTGCAAAAAAACAGAAAAAGAAACCTTGCCCAGGCTGCCCCTCTGCAGTGGTCATTCAACATTCAGTGGATGACGATTTGGGGGGTCCACAAGGTGTCAGGCACTGTAGCAGGTGTGGGGGCTGCAGGGCGAGCCACCGCAGAGCCAAGCCGCCCCCTTCATGGGGTGGTGGTCCAGTTGGGGAGATGAGCACTGAATGAATAACTCACTGAAACTCAGATGTGCTGTGAAGGAAGGTCTTGGTAGCACAGAAGGACAATGACTCAATCTGGGAGTCGAAGAGGCATGTTTCTAAAGAGGCAGAATGAATCCCATTCACAAGGCTGGGACTGAGCCTCCCTCAATGCAATGGGGGGGCTACTTGGTGTGGTCCCCGGCCCGTGTAAAGCCCTCTGCAAATGTTGGCTATGATGATTAGTATTTGTTTGTTTCATGTATCAGCCCCTACTCATCTTCTGCAAGAGCACAGATGCCCTAAAGAGCCACGTCTAAGACAGTGGAGCTATGTTTCCATAGACTCATAACATTTTCCAATTCTATTATGTTTAAAGTTTGAAAAGTACATTACATTAAATCTGTCATTATTCTTTCTGTTTTTCAACTCATAAGCCATGAACCTGGGCCGTGGGGCCATGGGGCTTGGGCAGACAATTCCTGCTACCCGATAAATGTAGGACCCATTTGGTGCCCATCAAGTAATTTATATTTTATTTTATTTTATTTTATTTTATTTTATTTTATTTTTTTGAGACAGAGTCTCACTCTGTTGCCCTGGCTAGAGTGCCCTGGCATCAGCCTCGCTCACAGCAACCTCAGACTCCTGGGCTCAAGCGATCCTCCTGCCTCAGCCTCCCAAGTAGCTGGGACTACAGGCATGCGCCACCATGCCCGGCTAATTTTTTCTATACATTTTTGGTTGGCCAATGAATTTCTTTCTATTTTTTTAGTAAATACGGGGTCTCGCTCTTGGTCAGGCTGGTTTCAAATTCCTGACCTTGAGCGATTCGCCTACCCCGGCCTCCCGGAGTGCTAGGATTACAGGCGTGAGCCACTGCATCCGGCCCCATCAAGTAATTTAATACGAAGCAAACTCATGTTACTTTCTGATCTTACAAAAGTTTGTATCTACAGAGCTCTCTACAGCCATCGGCACGCTGCCGCAGTGAGAATGACTATCGTGAGCTTGACTTATTGGTCCAGGCGTGGTCAGGACCAGCATCTGAAGCTCGGAGGTGGGCAGGCAGTTTCGTGCAAGGTGCAGGTCTTCCCACCTGCGAGACAAAGATATGTGGCCATGTCTCTCCATGCACCCACCTCCGAGTGCTTTCATCAGCGGGGTTCAATCCAAAGATGTCCAGCTCCTTCTTTGGCTTCTCTGGGTGGTGGCTCAGGAAGCTGTCCCTATTCTTATGCAGATAGTTGACCAGATCTCCGTAGAAGCAGTACTCAGTGATGATATAAATGGGACCTGTGGTGACCAAAACCGGCAGGAGACAGGCGTGAAAATGAAGAACAGGAAGGTCATGAACTGCTCTGTTCGGACTCGCAAGAGATGTTGCGCGAAAACAATATGAGTTTCCATCAGTTCAATTCAATGGAGCAAGTCAACTGCATTTGAGGGACTCCTACCCCCTGGCATGTTTGGGGGTGCAAAGAGGAGGACTGAAACCTAATTCAGCAGTTTTCACAACCACAGGTGTTCGATAAAAATCCCTACTCCGGCTCCGGGTCTGGAAGGTTACCTGACTTGGTGCATGCTCCCAGCAAGTTCACGATGTTCAAATGTGGGCCCAGGTGGGTCATTATCTTCAGTTCAGACATGAGAGCTTGTTTCTCACTGGATCTGGCCGTGGCTGTTGAAGAAATAAATCACATTATCAGTTCCACTGGGGTGCCACTTCCCATTCTCACAATACGCCAAGGACAGGACTGGTCCTGCCACTGGGATATCAAAAATTCTATTTCCCAAGATAGTGACTCAGTCTCGACTCCAGTCACTAACTAATCCCTAGTCTTTCAGGCCAAAAGAAGTCACTAGAAATAATAACTCTTGATGTCACAGTACGTGGGCAACAGGAGCAATCTAAATAAACCTAATTGACGCAATAGTGTAAATGCACATGAAATCTAGAGTCAAGGCCGGGCACGGTGGCTCACGCCTGTCATCCTAGCACTCTGGGAGGCCGAGGCAGGAGGATCGTTCAAGATCAGGAGTTCGAGACCAGCCTGAGCAAGATTGAGACCCAGCCTCTACTTAAAAAATAGAAAGAAATTAATTGGCCAACTAAAAATACATAGAAAAAATTACCCGGGCGTGGTGGCGCATGCCTGTCGTCCCAGCTACTCGGGAGGCTGAGGCAGGAGGATCGCTTGGGCCCAGGAGTATGAGGCTGCTGTGAGTTAGGCTGATGCCACGGCACTCACTCTAGCCTGGGCAACAGAGTAAAACTCTGTCTCAAACACACACACAAAAAGATCTAGAGTCCAAAGAACCAAGACTCAGCCCTAAACTTGTTATTTACTAGCCGTGTGATTTTGAGCGATTCCCTTTCGTACCTCCATGTTCAAAACTCCCCAGGGAGGGGCACTTACGTTTCAGCATCTTCACGGCGACTTTCATGACAGGCTGGGACCTGCTTAACCCATAGGCTGTTCCTTCGACCACTTTCCCAAATGCCCCGGATCCCAGGACGCGACCTGCAGACAACCAGAACCATGAACGCAGGCAGACTCCAGGCCTCTCCTCCACTCGGTTCCCCGCCGCCAGGCCAGCTGTCGTGGGTGCACAGCTGGGGGGTGTTTTTCAGTACTGAGTAAGCATGACGAGTCCTCCAAGTCCTCACATCAAGATCAGAATGGAGCCCACAAGGGAAGGAAATTAGCGTAATTGCTTTAGCGAAATAACATTTGCAAGGGAAAGGAAAGCACAGAGGAGGAGAGAGGAGGGTGCAGTCGTCCCTGGGTGGGAGCGCTCTGTCTCCCAGCTCCGTGCTGGGCTCGACCCTGGCCTCCTCTGCACCTGCTGTCTACACTCCTTGCCCAAACCCCCGGGTCCTCTACCCTTTTGTTTTCCACGTGCAAACAGGGCCATCTTTTGCATCAACAAATCCTTAAAAAAAAAACAAATTAGAAAAAAAAATCCTTAACCACTGGAAATATTTCAGTATTCCAAATATCACTGATTCCAGGGAGTGATTAAAGTTAAAACTTCAGGCTGGGCTGGGTGCAGTGGCTCAAGCCTGTAATTCTAGCACTCCAGGAGGCCGAGGCAGGAGGGATCGCTTGAGGTTAGGAGTTCGAGACCAGCCTGATCAAGATCGAGACCCCATCTCTACTAAAAATAGAAATTAATTAGACAACTAAAAATACATAGAAAAAAAATAGCTGGGCATGGTGGCACATGTCTGTAGTCCCAGCTACTTGGGAGGCTGAGGCAGGAGGATTGCTTGAGCCCAGGAGTCTGAGGTTGCTGTGAGCCAGGATGATGCCACGGCACTCTAGCCCAGGCAACACAGTGAGACTCTGACTCAAAACACTTCAGGCTGGACTCCTGGCTGCCTGTGGTCAGGACAGTCACTACAGCAAAGACTTGGGGCACTACACAAGACTACACAAGTCACTACACAAGACTTGGGCAGTCTTGTGCACCAAGAGCACAGCATGTTGGAGTTACAAAAAGTCATTGAAGCAGTCATCCCCACCCTTTGAGAGCTCACAGTCTAAGAGGAACCTTTCTGGAAGAGGCAGTCTCACCATGGATAGCCACGCCAGGCAAAGACTCAGCTCATAAAAGACGCCATCAGTCCACACTGCCTCTGACCGCTTGTCTGTGTTGCTGGCCATTGAACCTGGCAAGGCTCTGCTCCACCAGCAACTTGGCAAGACCCAGGACAGAGAGACAGAGAAATGCCTATTGGCATATTAGGAACTGTGCCCTTATCTCCATATTTTATTACTTTTTAACCTCCCTAAGCTCCTTGTCTCTTTTTTGAGGGAAAGATGGGAAAAATATAATAAAGAAAGCTTAGATGTGAGCGCTTGAAATTGGGCACAGCTCGGGTGTCTTGTTTGATTTCAGTTAAGTAACTCTCTGGGAAGACCTACACTGGGGTCCGTGTTTTGGAAGATACAGGTGAGTCATTAAAAAACGATATCCACATTTTTCAAAGTACGTGCCATTAGATTATTCAACATGACACAACGTCTACCTCTAACTTTCATTTGCCTTTGTCTTGTTTTCATTCATTCAGAATGTGATTAAAAAAGAAAAAATCTCTTGGATTAAAGCTTCATATACTTGGTCTCATCCCAGGATTGAAATATTTAAAAAGCTTGTGATAATTCGGCTGGACTTATTTTTACATCTTTTGCTTTAAAATGTACCTATATTTTTATATTGCATACTCCAAATACATATATATATAAAGAAGTCTCCGATGCGTCCTCAGAATGTACTGCATTGTGGTTGTCCTCATTCATTTCTCATCTGTTCCTTTTTAGGCCCAGAGATTCATCTCATTTTCGATTTGTGTCATTTCCAAAGCAAAGCTATTTTGGTGAGTATATTTGCCAGGCCTCTTCGCATTCTCTTCTCCCTTTGTAAAATTTTCTTTAACCATGATTTGTGATGGAATGAGATGTTTTCCAAAAAAAAAAAAAAATCATTGCAGTGATCCAATTAACTGATTGTCAAGATGGAAATATATTTCCGAAAGCAGGTGTCTATGGCCTAGCGCTTGCTAAGCACAAGCTCAGGTCCCTTCTCCTGCCAGGGGCCTGTACGGGGTGAAGCTGCGTGTGCAAGGGAGAAGGGGGTCTCAGGGGACCACCCCCAGGTGCTTACCGAGCACGAGTCCATCTCTCGGAAACTCCCATCTGGAGTCGTAAGGCAACTGCATGGGATCCACGTAGATGTATTCATGTCCGTCAGGGCTGATCGACTCGATGACCCTCCAGCGAATTTCATACCTCGGTTTCTATAAGTGACCAGGACGGGCAACTGGTGAGTGACCAAAGTCCCAATGCACCAAAGCCCAGCTACAGCAGCCAGGCAGACACAACAGCATCCAACAACATGCATTCAACATACAATCACTGAGCTCTTTCTCTGTGCCAAGCCCTGAACTAGGTGGTTATTCTTCTCGCTCTTATTGGCGTCGAAGATTTTTTTTAGTTCTTTTGGGGAAATATCTACCTGTTTCCAAATGACAACCAGGACAATAAGGGAGATGATCACAATCACCAACAGCACCAGCACCGCGGCTGCCACCGTGAGTTCCGAATGCAGGGCTGGGGACAAGAGAGAGGGACAGTGAAAGATTTCCTAAGGACATGCAGGGGGCGCGGGGAGGTGGGGGTGGCTGGGCCGGGGACCTCTCTCTGCTGCTGCGGGCGTGAGGCTGCCTGGCTCTCCCTTGGGGACAGGCAGTACCATCTCTCAAACACCTGCACACCGGACACTATGCCCGTTCTTCTCTGAGATGAGAGAGGAACACGATTCCATCAGGGGAGCTCAAAGCTTTCTCCAATAGTAACCTTTCAGACAGAGTTTGAACAGGCACAATAAAGATCGGTCAATGGGATGGAGAGCCACTATACATCTAGAAACTTCTACTTCTATAAAGCTCATTTTGAAAGGTCGTATTTTGCTCCTATTGCTTTTGGCTTCATTGATTTGTAAGGAACAGATGAGATAGACGACCCTCCTTCCACACCTCCCTCCCCATACACAGGCGCTCAGACCAAGTACCGTATTTCCCCAAAAATAAGACAGGGTCTTATATTTATTTTTCCTCAAGAAGACACCCTAGGGCTTATTTTCAAAGCATGTGTTATTTTTTTTTTAAGGACGGTACAACCATCTCCATTGATTCAAATAGAGTGAAGTCGTCTTCTTCTGGAACATCATCATCACTCTCCAAACCCCGAATTCCTGAATGTCTTGCGACTCTATTTCCTTTAGAACCACCGGCCCCGATCTCTCCTGTGGAGCACTAGAGCTCTCACGGGGCGGATGAGAAGGGCTGCTCGTGTTCTTTCCCGCTCCGAGACGACATGCATGGGTTGTGCAGATTCGCTGCGCAGCCACGCCCATCACTAGGGCTGATTTTCATAGCCACGCCCATCACTAGGGCTGATTTTCATAGCCACGCCCACCACTAGGGCTGATTTTCGGGGTAGGGCTTCTACTGCGCACATGCTTAGACATCCTGCTAGGGCTTATTTTATGGGGAAGTCTTATTTTCGGGGAAACACGATAAGACTGAGTAGCTGTGTTATTAGCCGTGCACAACGTCAAGGAGCCTCTGTGAGATGCAGTTTGGGGTCTGAAATTGGAAAGAAGGGCCCAGGTGCCTTCCAGGGCATTCCCAGCTGAGTGTCTGCCTTGGGGGCTTCATTCCCACGGGACCCTGGGTGGGATTCCAAGTCCCGCCTCAGGGAGACAGGGCTCAGCTCCTTCGCTGTCCTCAGTGCAGGGCAACTCACTGGGCGCCACCAGCTTCAGCTCTCGGCTCTCAGCGCTTAGGAGGTTCTTGGCCAGGCAGCGAACTGCGATGATCTCCTCCACTTTGGCGAACGTCACCCGGCCCTCCACGGTGTTCCTGCCCCGGGGCCGCAGCTCCATGTGGATGTTTGACACGTTGCTGGCCAGCATGGTCCAGGAAGTTTCGTTATTACACCTAAAGGGAAAAAAAAAAGCCTAAGTACAGGGCCAATGATTGACAGTCACGCACTCGAGCGGAGCAACGAGAATAGGCTGAGACGGCTTCAGGGGTGCTGGCCCCTGCGACATTTGGGGGCGCCACACCCCGACTGTCACATTTCCCGTGCAGATTTAACACGAGGACCTGTTTGCACATGCTCAGGCGGGAATAACCCACTCACGGATAACCGAAAGCTGATTAGGAAGGAGCCAGAGGGAAACACGTTTGATAAAATATGATGGCCCTTCCCCGGCCTGGAACCCCTACGAGCAAACCGAATGGCTACACTTCAAGCAGGTTTGAGGATCCCAATTTTCCACCCCTTTCTAGAAGGTCTGGCGCCCACCCTCCCCTCTCACCGCCCACACTGGCAAGAGCCCCCGACAGTCGGTCACCGGGGTTGGTGACAGCCATCCTTCGGACCCCGAGGTAAGGCCTAGATTCCAGCTCCAGCCTGGGATCTACCAAAGCTCCAGCCAACATCCAGGTCCACCCCCGCCAGCCCCAGGAGAGGGCAGGGCCAGAAGTCTCAGCCTTCAGGAAGAAACCATAGAACCTTCTGGGCACAACCATCACCATGGGTGGAAGAGTGAACTAGTGTAGCCCACGTGGCCATTCAGAAAGTTGTGGGATCAGGTAAGGAAGGAGGAGCCGGTGTGCTAACGCCCCCTAAACCCGGGTGCAGGAGGGCGTGAGCGGTCACGCAGCACTATTGTCATTTACGTCCACGTGCCAAGCCAGCCACCAAAGTTCACCAGATAAGGAACATGAGATAAAAACGTGGGCCAAGGTAGCAAAAATTTTCTTAGGATACTGGTTCTTTTTTTTTTTTTTTAATTTTGTTTCTGTGTTGTTTTTTTTTTTAGTTGTCCAATTAATTTCTTTCCAATTTTAGTAGAGGCGGGGTCTCACTCTTGCTCAGCCTGGTTTCGAACTCCTGACCTCGAGCGAACCTCCCGCCTCGGCCTCCCAGAGTGCTAGGATCACAGGCGTGAGCCAGGATAGTGGCTCTTAAAATTTATCCTTTTTCAGATGAGAGCCCTCTTTGAGAGCGTGATGCCAGCCAGGGACCTCCTCCCCCAGCGACTCATGGGCACATGCGCACGCCCTGTTCGGAACCCTGTCTCATCATTTGTAAGCAGCGTGGGCCTCAGGCCAAATGCGACTCACAAATACCCAAAAAAAGGCCAACAGAAGAAGAAATGAAATGTATCTGTGGCCCTTTGTGTCAAGGGAGAGGCATTCCGACCACAGAAGAAGAAGAAGCAACATCTGGTCCCCGTACTTCTTGATATCCTTGCAGATCATCCACTGGATGTCGGGCAGGGGCGTGCCTTCGGCCGTGCACTGCACCGTCTGGGCCCCTGTCGGGCCGTTGTGGTCATCAACCAAGTCCAGGATGGAGGGGGGCACTGCAAGAGGTGGACAGGGGTCAGACCTGAAGAGTCCCAGATCTTGCAGGGACAGGGATGTAGGGGACTGACATTATATTTTCCTAGTTCAAGAATTAAAGTTAGTCAGTAATGTCCGTGTTCTGCCCAGAGTGTTTGAAAGTAATGTGTTCCGGCCAAGGTCCTTGTGATAAACAAGGATGCTGCCTGGGGGCATAACAAAGGACCTGAGTTGCAAGTAAGCAAGAGCTGCCCTGCCCCACAGCATTGGGGGTCTGGAGGCCACACGATAAACCCATTGTTCCTGTGATTGCTGCGTACACCCCATAAGATGGCTGGTTAGTCAATGACGGGTAAGACCCCTCAAGGGAGGGGCGACCTAAGCCAGGCACAGCCGCCGGGGTTCAGCCGAAGATCTTAGTGGGTCACCCTAAGAGAAGCTGGGGATGAGAAATGCCCCCTGTGGCTCACCTTGCCCATCCTTGCTAATCTCGGTCCTTTATCTACACCTAGGGCCTAGAGCAACCACCTTGAGATTCTGAGTCTGCTTCCCTAAGGCTATTCCGGAATTTACGGCTATTGCTGCCACACCTGGGCGGTTACATACAAGGAACTAACTTTAATTTTTTAGAGTATACAAATAAAACTGACCCGGTGTATTATTACTCAAGTCAACCGTTTGTACATGTGTCTACATTTTTCTTTGTGTTCTGCGTTTGTGTTTTATGTTCTGGGTTCATCCTCCGTCCTGTAAACGGGCCACGGCACAGGGGGACCTGCGCTCAGAACCCGTCCACGTGGCATTGGAGTCACCCCAGAGGACCTGAAACCAGGTGCCCTTGTGTAGACAGACCCACTCGGTCAAGAGCGTTTTCGCAGTTTCGGTGTTTTGGGAATTTATGCCTGGGGTGTTTTAAATCGGGAGTGAAGAAAGTGAAAAGTTCCTGCAGTTATTTGGCTTGAAAGGCAAAGAGGCCCTTAAAACTATGTCATAGCTTAGGATGCAACTGATGCATTCCACTAAAGCATAACCTAAAGCAGCATCCACCAAAGGGCAAATGTGGGATATTATTAGATTTTAAAGATTCTCTTTTTAATCTGGGGTCCAGTATGTTTTTTTTCTTTTTTGGAGACAGAGTCTCACTCTGTTGCCCAGGCTAGAGTGAGTGCCGTGGCGTCAGCCTAGCTCACAGCAACCTCAAACTCCTGGGCTCAAGCGATCCTCCTGCCTCAGCCTCCTGAGCAGCTGGGACTACAAGCACGCGCCACCATGCCCGGCTAATATATTTTTAGTTGGCCAATTAATTTCTTTCATCTCTTTTTAGTAGAGATGGGGTCTCACTCTTACTCAGGCTGGTCTCGAACTAGGGGACCAGTACGTTAGAGATATGCTAATACTTGTATCACAGACTCACTGTGAGACTCCAGTGAGCCCACCTAGCACAGTACGGGGCACACGGGAGAGACTCGGTGAACAGGTGCTGAACTTGAGTGTAAGTGGATTTGGGCACTCCACTCTGGCAGGGACCCCCACACCGTGTCTACACGGGCAGCCGAGCAAAACCCTGCGGAACAATTCAAGGTCACCTGGACCAAAAAGCATCGCTTCCCTCTTCTCAGAACTGGAGGCGCCGTGTTGAGAATCGGGCGCTAAGAGAGCTGGTGGAACCTGGAGAATTCCTGGACTGCTCCAGAGTAACCCAGAACCTTCCAGAAACACCTGAATTCATGAGTCCAGCAAAGCTACCCCTGATGTGTGACATCCCCAGTCCCCGATTCTCCCCCTTAAGTGTTGCTTTTCCTCCACAACCTGTGAGGAAAGTTCCAGGCTCTCTTCGGGGGACAGATTGCCTCGTTCGCTGAGCTAGCATTCTCTCCCGACGCCTTCACATACCTTGAGTTAACAGCTCAAACGTGTAGCTCTTCATGTCGTCCTCGTTTTGAACGACAATAGTGTAGTGGCCGCTGTCTTCTTCCTTTGCACGGATCAGCTTTAACTTGCTTCGATATCTTAAGAGAAAAGGATTTTGTTTCAACAAGCAGTAGCTACATAAATTCCCATCATTTAAGCAACGACAGTCTTCATTTAAATTTTGTTTTTGCAAAAAAGCCAAAACATCTTTTATTTATTTATTTATTTATTTTTGGTTTCTTGTCCGCATCACCTCTTTCCTGGGATTCTCAGTATGCTTCCCACATGCCAAAGGTCTGAATCACACACAGATTTCTTACGGGAGAAAAACCAGATATTCTGAGATGAGCAATGGCCATTGCCAAGAGCTGTCGGTTCTGCTAAGACCTGACTTGTGAATGGAAATGAACACAGCCTACTGGCTTTTCTCTTTTCAAAAATTCTTGATTTTACCTTTTTAAAAAAAAGATTTGCCTCCCCTAAATATCACATCGTTTAGGTGGTTCAGCCAAAAATACAATGGAGGCCAGGCGTGGTGGCTCACGCCTATAATCCCAGCACTCTGGGAGGCCGAGGCTGGAGGATCACTCAAGGTCAGGAGTTCCAAACCAGCCTGAGCAAGAGTGAGACCCCCCCTCTCTCTACTAAAAATAGAAAGAAATTAATTGGCTAACAACTATATATAGAAAAAATTAGCCAGGCATGGTGGCACGTGCCTGTAGCCCTAGTACTGTGGGAGGCCAAGGCAGGATTGCTCAAGGTCAGGAGTTCGAGACCAACCTGAGCAAGAGCAAGACCCTGTCTCTTCTAAAAATAGAAAGAAATTAGCTGGATAACTAAAAATATATAGAACAAATTAGCTGGGCATGGTGGTGCATGCCTGTAGTCCCAGCTATTCGGAGGCTGAGGCAGGAGGATCGCTTAGCCCAGGAGGTTGAGGTTGCTGTGAGCTAGGCTGATGCCACGGCACTCACTCTAGCCTGGGCAACAAAGTGAGACTCTGTCTCAAAAAAAAAAAAAAAAAAAAAAACACAATGGAGAAAAGAATGAGGATCCAGTCTACATATCAACACGGGGAGGTCTCCAGTTTGTAACATTCCTACCTGCTTGGATTTTTTTTTTTTTTTGAGACAGAGTCTCACTTGTTGCCCAGGGCTAGATGAGTGCCGTGGCGTCAGCCTAGCTCACAGCAACCTCAATCTCCTGGGCTCAGCGACCTACTGCCTCAGCCTCCGAGTAGCTGGACTACAGGCATGCGCCACCATGCCGGCTAATTTTTTTTGTATATTTTTAGTTGGTCAATTAATTTTATTCTATTTTGGTAGAGACAGGTCTCGCTCAGCTTTCGAACTCCTGACCTTGAGCAATCCGCCCACCTCGCCTCCCAAAGTGCTAGGATTTACAGGCGTGAGCCACCATGCCGGCCTACCTGCTTGGATTTGCTTAAAGAAACTCGAAGGTTTCCTAAGCACCCAATGAAGCTAATAAAGGTACTTCCGTTTGGGGAGGAGGGAGGAACTAGACAGGCACAGACAGGAGTAGAGTGAGGCTTCTCACATGCATCCTCTTTATGTCTGATTCCTTTTGAAGCTTGGGATTCTATCACCTATTCAAAAAACTAAGTTAGAAAAAAATACACCTCTTCATACTTCACTGGAAGAAAATTTCCCCAGGAGATTTTACATGAATTACAAATGGCAATTGGCTCTGTGTGTGTGCGCATAAATATAGTCTTTGCCCATTTGCTTGTCCTTTATAAATCATCACAGTGTGGAGAAGCAACCAGAAGGGAGAAGGAACACACTGCTCATGGAGTGAGAGAAGACCATGGCTCGTGTCAGTAAAATTCTCCATGCCTCAGTTTCCCTATCTGTAAAATGCGATAATTGTACACTCAGTACAGAGTCACTCTGAAGATTCATTAAATGACATTATATAAGGGAAAGCATTTCCTAGGCTCAAAAGCACTCTGCAAACGCTGGGCATTGGGATCTCCGAGAAGAGGCTGGGGTGACTTTTTCTCTGCCACCTGACGCTGGTTGAGCTTCAGGACTGGATTTCCTCAGAGTGCCCTTTTAGGCAGAGCCGGTTTGCCAAACGATCCTCTGTCATTCATTGCTCCTTCTTGTTCAGCCAAGAAAGCCAGTGGGTTCAAGAGCTCTAAGCCAGACGCCCCGCCCACCATGTCCATTCTGGTATTCTCTGGCCCATAAGAGGAACGAGAAAAACACGTGCTCAAGGATTCTTAAATCACCCTAAGGGACAGCTTTCCAGAACCGCTCAGTTCTGCGAACTTGTCTCGTCATTGCAGACAGTAGATCACGATGGGCACGCATTGAAAACGCCATTACGCTATGGCCAGGGAGACCTCCTCCCCTCCTGCCTCGGTGGATAAGTTCGCAGGTGAAGGTGGCCGCCCCTGTCTTTGCTGCACCTTCCATTGCATCGAAACACACAAGACAAATACACATCTAAATCACATCACAATACATCAACATCGCCAATATGCACTATAACGCTGTATCATCAAGAGAATCCATGATCGCACAAAACATAACTCTAAAACAAAACAGTGGAATTTGTCCACAGAAAGAAAAGGCAAATCTTGACGTTGAAGTGACACTCGATGAAAGAAAGGTCTGTTCTCCCCCTTTCCCTAGAGGGCTTGAACATAGGACTGGACTTTTGTCTGCATGGGATCGATTTCTCGACAAAAGGTATCGTGCGAATTCCTGGGCGCGCTTCTACATGCACCTTCTAGGCCGGGCAAGGTGGCTCACACCTGTAAATCCTGCAAATTCTGCGCCGCCAACGCAAAAAAAACAAAAAACCAAACAGAAACAATGCTGGAGATAGATACGTTTTGAAGCTTCGCGACACGCAGCACAGCAAGAACACCTGCTTCTCAAACAAGACAACATAAACATGGCACTTACTATATACAGGAAAATGAGGCAGGCCATGCGCGGGTCGCCTGTGGTCCCCCAGCTACTCCGGGGACCTGAGCACGGAAAAAGGATCGTTGAGCCAGGGCCTTGAGGTTGCTGTAGCTAGGCTGACGCCACCCCGCACTCGTTAACCTGGCAACAGAGTTGAAGACTCTGTCTCAAAAACAAACAAACAAAAAAAGATGCATTTTCTGACTTCGGTGCTAGTCTTAGCTGAAAACTGCAAGAGATCTCAAGATACCATCTGATCCAATTCCTAACCTTGAAGAACATGAGATATTGCTTATCCAACATTGTAGACGAGGAAATTGAGGCTGAGGGATGACTTGCCCAAAACTCCACGCTGGTTAAGAGAGGAGAGTGATCTGCCCCTCTGATCAAAAAAACAGGGATCCCAGATGAGTCACTGCACATCTCTCTCCTGACCCAATGCAGCCAGGCTCTCCTCTTCTATTGTCGCCGTGATCCTCCCACTGGGGCCAAAGCGTTTTCCAAATAAGTGCAACCGAAGTTTTGTTTCATGTAAGTTTATGTGATAATTGCTTCGCAAGGAAAATCACCAGACGTTGCCGCCACTTGCAATATGGATGATGCACATCAAGGAATATATTCCATCCAAGTGGGTCCAACTGTACTCTTTTCCTCTACCCTTCACTGAATCCGGTGACCTGTCTTTCACTGGGGGTCAAAGCATCTTAATTCTTCTTTCTTCTCATTTTATTGTTAAATACTTACCAGGATACTATTACCATATTGCAATGTTATAATGAAAGGATACTATTACCATATTGCAGTGTTATAATGTTATAAGTTACCAGGAAACTAGGTAGATCCCAGTGCTAGGATGAAGGCGTGAGCCACCCACCGCGCCGGCTACCGGAGGAGCTTTTGACAGTCGGTTTTCTGCCCGTTCCGCTGCAGAAGGGCAAAGGCGTCACGATGCTGGAGGAGATCAAAGTCCCGTTCATCAAGTTGGTGTACACGCTGAGCGTCCCCGAGGCCACGGTGAAAGACAGCGGAGACTACGAATGTGCGGCTCGCCAGGCCACAAGGAGGTCAAGGAGATGAAGAAAGTCCACCATTTCTGTGCATGGTATATTCCGCTTTCTATCTATTTTTATTTTTAAATTTTTTTTTTTTTGAGACAGAGTCTTACTCTGTTGCCCAGGCTAGAGTGAGTGCCGTGGCATCAGCCTAGCTCACAGCAACCTCCAATCCTGGGCTCAAGCAATCCTCCTGCCTCAGCCTCCCGAGTAGCTGGGACTACAGGCATGCACCACCATGCCCGGCTAATTTTTTCTATGTATGATAGTTGGCCATTGAATTCTTTTTTATTTATAGTGAGACGAGGTCTTGCTCTTGCTCAGGGCTAGTTGTGAACTCCTGACCGTTGAGTGATCCTCCGCGTTGGCCTCCCAGGGTGCTAGGATTACAGGCGTGAGCCACCACGCCCGGCCTTAAATTTTTTTTTCTTGCATTTTTTTTTTTTTTTTTAGACAGAGTCTCACTCTGTTGCCCAGGCTAGAGTGATGCCATGGCGTCAGCCTAGCTCACAGCAACCTCAAACTCCTGAGCTCAAGCAATCCTCCTGCCTCAGCCTCCAAGTAGCTGGGACTACAGGCATGCGCCACCATGCCCGGCTAGCTAATCCTTATTTAATGGAAACTCTCCCCTGCGCAGAGAAAGGGTTCATTGACATCAAACCCACCTTCAGCCAGTTGGAAGCCGTCAACCTGCACGAAGTCAAACATTTCGTGGTGGACGTGCGGGCCTACCCTCCTCCCAGGATATCCTGGCTGAAGGACAACCTGACTTTGATTGAAAATCTCACCGAGATCACACGATGTGGAAAAGATTCAGGAAATAAGGTAAACAAACACCCTTCCAAGTATGCTTTTTTTCGTAGCATGTGTACCTAGATAGACAGAGGTTTGTGCATGTCTTACAACCCAAACCCAAAGTCAATCTGTAAAATGTGGCAGTCTGAGTTAAGAGATGTGGAAATCATTATAACATTGCAATATGGTAATAGTATCCTGGTAACTTAAAACATGATAACATTGCAATATGGTAACTTATTGGTAACTTATAACATAATAACATTGCAATATGGTAACTTATTGGTAACTTATAATAACATTGCAATATGGTAACTTATTGGTAACTTATAATAACATTGCAATATGGTAACTTATTGGTAACTTATAACATAATAACATTGCAATATGGTAACTTATTGGTAACTTATAATAACATTTGCAATATGGTAACTTATTGGTAACTTATAACATAATAACATTTGCAATATGGTAACAATATGGTAACTTATAACATGATAACATTGCATACATGGTACCT